GGAATACAGAAATATGTGTTTAGATATTTTATTAAAGATGGTCTGTGTCATTTCTAATTTAGATGATTGGCAATGCCAGTGGTTACCATTTGCCTGTGGTGAGAAATCCTGTGTCTGTGTAATTAGGGTAATGACAACTTTCAGGTTATAATTTGAAGAAATTAATATAAGACTTTAATGAGTCTGACAGCTATTAAAGAGAACCTGTCGCCAACTTAAAATATTTCAGCTTAAAGCCCCAAACAATTAAGTGTTTGAATACTTACTTGCAGTGTTTCTTTCCATAAAGTGGTTGTAAACCCTTACATATACCCAGTGAAGTGACTGGCCTCAGGTGATACACAGAGATGAAACAAATCCTCCTATGTAAGTTGTACCTGTCTATCTGCAGCAGTATTTCTCCTACAGTTATTTAAAGTACATAATTTACACAGGATCTCTCAGCTCTGAAAAGCAGGAGGCAGGAAGGTGAAGCTACACTCAGTGAGGACAGCTTTGAGAGCTGATTGGATAGAAATTCTGAAGGACCCTCTGCACACTGGTATATACCCTTTCAAGCAAACTATGCAACAAATAGGGATATTTAGTTCACACATATTGCAATACATGTTTAAGCTGGCCAACTGCGTCAAAGTAATCCCTCTATGGCCAGTCCTACTCTGCCCTGCCTACGCAAATGCTACTGTGGACACAATGCTAGCATAGGGGAAAAGACACAATGGGGAGAGCTACAAGGTTCAGGTCTGGCTACTGACCCAACAATACAACAAACAAGAGATCCCTGTGCTCAAATCCATACAGCTAGTGCATGCATTTATCCATCAGGTGCACTAGCTGTATGGATTTGAGCACAGGGATCTCTTGTTTGTTGTATTGTTGGGTCAGTAGCCAGACCTGAACCTTGTAGCTCTCCCCATTGTGTCTTTTCCCCTATGCTAGCATTGTGTCCACAGTAGCACTTGTGTAGGCAGAGCAGAGTAGGACTGGCCATAGAGGGATTACTTTGACGCAGTTGGCCAGCTTAAACATGTATTGCAATATGTGTGAACCAAATATCCCTATTTGTTGCATAGTTTGCTTGAAAGGGTATATACCAGTGTGCAGAGGGTCCTTCAGAATTTCTAGAGTTAATGTGGTTACACCCCTTTAGCACCTGATGGATAAATGCATGCACTAGCTGTATGGATTTGAGCACAGGGATCTCTTGTTTGCTGATTGGATAGAAGGGACACACCCCCTCCACATAGCTTACAGGAACAGAGCTGAGGTTGTCAATCTGCTGAAGGTTCCTCCCCTGTCACCATTTTTCCCTTGGTGTCAGGAAAACTTGTCAGAAATGATTCATGCAGATAGCAGAGCTATGAAACAGCAGACAGAAATGACACTTGGTGCTCTTAAAGTGGTAGTAAACTAAAAAAAAAAAAGTTTTCCCTTGCAAGACAAAGGCATAACGTGCAATATTCATCGCAGATATTCATTTTACCTACAGGTATGCTTTATTATAAGCTTGCCTGTAGGTAAAAAAAAAAAAATGTTCACTTCCACTTTGAGACTAGTACACACTATAGAGGGATATGCTTTGTTAATTTTTCATGTCTGAGGTTTACAACCACATTAATTTTATTCTCTTGCAATGTGGTTTTGAACTTGCCAAAAGATTTGACTATTCCAGGAGGAGTCAATTTTGTAGCAGAGCCCCTACCTCTTGGCACTTCATAACTCTTTCCCTTTCTGGGAGTGTCAATTTACTGCCTTTGCTGGCCCAGATCCTCTGTCCCTCTCTTTATCTCCCTGCATAATCTTTTTTTATGTAGATGCTTTGGGAAAATCGAAGGGGAATACTATTGAGTGCTGACATAACATCCACGATGGCAGCGCCCAGTATCAATATAAGAGAAATTAATCCTGCTCTATGGTACCTAAGCAAATATAATATGTAGCTGCCATTACCCCAATTATACCGCAAAAAGGATATAACCAAATATAAATTAAATGATATAAACGTGGGTCTGGCGCCACAAAACACTAGCCCCGGTTGTAGTAAAAAGATATTATGTATATATCAATTATGTGAACCAACATGAAACACTATTCAAACTACTACAATACCCCTCCCTTCCACTATCAGTGCTTTAATATCTTAATAAATATACCACATAAAAGTGCTGTATTTTTTAAATTGCCATGGATCCGATCAATACAAATACAATATAAACCATAAAGCATAGATTTTCTATAGCTCTATATTATACACCTCCCCCTTATTCAATACATAAATATACAGTACATGTAGACAAAGTCCAATAAAGTGCCGAGTGGAGCTACCAGTAGCAGTCTCAGTGCTTTTAGATGTTTATGCAAAGGAGGCTTTTACATTACATTTTACATTTAAATAAAAAAGACATGAAATACATTAAATGCACATATAATATTATGAGAAGAGTGTTAGTCAATTTTTAGCCTGGAGACAAGGTCTCTGTACAATTCTGCAGTTATCAGGAAGCACAAGGTGCCTGATATTGCACTTTCTAGCCATATAACCTTCATATTTACGCTTTTCCGAAATGATTGTCACTTTGTAACCAAGCACTTGACGTTTCCTTATTTGAGGACTAGAGCCTGTCCAGCGAGAGTGTCCTTACTGGCCACTAAGGCATTCTCCTGGCATTGGACATCAGAAGGGCAGTTGCCAGGGCTTAGTCCCAAAGTAAGGAATGTCCAATGCTTAGTAACAAAGTAAAAGCTGTTTTAAAGGTGCACACAGAGAAGGGGAATTTATACTAGGAATTTATCTTAGCCATTTTACATTACCTAAAGTAATAATCCAGTCTCAAATGGATACATTTTGACACCTTTGCCATAAATGTGTGCCCTTTCTTTTGAGCTGCATTGGGCAGCATTGCCCAACACAGTCCCAACAGATGTAAAAGTCAATTAACTGTATGTTCTGTTGTTTCCATTTATTTATTTCAGGTACTTATATAGCGCCGTCAATTTACGCAGCGCTTTACATATATATTGTACATTCACATCAGTCCCTAACCCTCAAGGGGCGTACAATCTGAGGTCACTAACTTACATTCAAGGGCCAATTTAGACAGGATCCAATTAACCTACCAGCATGTCTTTGGAGTGTGGGAGGAAACCGGAGTACCCAGAGGAAACCCACGCAGGCACAGGGAGAACATGCAAACTCCAGGCAGGAGGTGCTGTGGCTGGGATTCGAACCAACGACCCTAGTACTGCCAGGTGGAAGTGCTTACGATTTAACCACTGTGCTGCCCATTTAGACCACAGGTGTCAAACTGGAGGCCCTGCAGCTATTGCCAAACTACAAGTCCCATGAGGCATTGCAAGATTGATAGTTTGGAGTTGACTCCGAAAAGGCAGAGGCATGATGGAACTTCTAGTTTCACAACAGCTGGAGGGCCGTCAGTTTGACACCCCTGGTTTAGACCAATGCTGGACAAAAGCTGGAAATGTTGTACATAGTAATGGGTGCATAGCATTGAGTGAAATATTTTGTGACATTTCAATAAAGTTTAAAACGCATTATTACAGATTGCATCCAAATTCAAGTGAAATGGCTTTGATGTTTGCACATCTTTATAAATGGGGAGAATGTTCAAATTAATTATTACTCTGAAAATATTAAGTATCTTTTGGGTCTTTTAAGTATGAGTTGGTGTTTGTTCATTTAATTTACAGGTCAGGACATTAAAGTAGAAGTTTAGACTATACCACACCCCACCTTCCTTCCCATTACCCTTCATACATTTACTGTAAATTGCAATTTCTGACATTTTCTTTGTGGTCATGTGACTGTAAATCTCTGTGTAATGTGTGACTGTTGAAATAACTCTTTCCTTCTGACAACACCTGCAGTGGAATTCAGCCCTTCACAATGCATAGAGGAGATGGATTTTTGGGTTCACGTGACTGTACAGTATAGAAAAACAAGGAGAGATGTATTTAAACTTTGATTTATGCTGAAATATATGAAGGGTAAAGGAAGGCAGGAGAAAAAAATGAAAAGGTGAACTTATACCCTCCCCACTGTACTTCACTTGGGTGATGAGCTGTCTTTGCCCATGCAGCCTACATAGCAGTCCAGGGATTTGAAATCCCCACCCTTCTTCCTGCAGCTTTCTGGGACGGATCAAGGCGGTGCTGGCGCTGACCAGTCTGAATCGCTCTGATCCATCCCAGAAGCACTGCAGAAAGAAGATTAAAAAAAGAGCGAGGATTTCAAGTCTCCAAACCACTGCACCAGCTACATGGGCAAAGGCAGCTCCCCACCCACATAGGTAAGTACAGCAGGGGGTAGGGAGAGTGTAATGTGTTGGTGCAGTGTTTCATTTTTTCTGAAACTCTTTATGTGCTGTCTTCATAAAGCAGTGGTTGATTCACTGGCTGTGAATCAATCATTTAAAGCACACACAGTTGGGAATATTCACATGCAGTAAATGTTTGGTGAAAGTCAGATTAACTGCTTTATAAATATGAACCTAGGTTTAACATGAACACTCTTAAATTATGAAATGTGATATAATAATATATATTGGTAAGTACTGTCCTTGTAACCAGGGGTGGACTGACAATTCATGGAGCCAATAGGGGATCATGGGGACCCTGTGTCCTCATCAACACCCAAAAAAGCCTATGAAAAAGCCGATGAAAGGTGCCAGGGGCATCTCATGGGGCCCCCTACTGACCCTGGGCCCTCGGGTAGTGCCCGAGTGCTTGAATGGTCAGTCCGCCCCTGCTTGTAACCAATAATGAGATTTGAAATAGGTTGCGAAGATGGGCCTCTGGTACTTTTCTCCTTTTCGGGATATCTGGACAGCAAGTGCGCTGTGTTTTAAACTATTACTTCCTTCTGTGCTAGCTTTTTAAATGTTTTTTTCCAGTGATCTCCTGAAATGTATATTTATCCACACATATTAAAAGTTTTTTTTTTACATAAATAGCAATTATGAGAATAAACATCTTGTGCTGTTTTTTTTTTTTCATTTAGGTGTGTTGTAGTTTTATTAAATCCCCGAAAGAACAAACAGCATCATATCCTGAACAGTTCCAGGTGAGTGTTGCACTATATGTAAATCCTTCTACTGATTAGTGGCCGACTGTCTGCAGATCTGATCCTTTGCACAAGTCGAATCCATCACAAATCATTCTTTGATCCACCATAACATGATTCTGATCACATTTAGTCAGAAATAATTCAATATATGCCCCTGTAATTTATTGAATTACATTGCATTGTAATTCAATTAATTGTATGTTTTTATACATGAGGCTTGTGTACATTGGGTTTTATTTGAGTCCTGGGCTGAAAGTCTTCGCATTCAAGCCTAAGTTTAGGTAAACGTTTTTCTTTTAAATCTGCAAGGGATGGTATTTACATTTTAAAGGATATGTTCACCTGTAGTAACATGTTCTATGTTGAACCTGTATTTAGGATTTCACATGTTACTATGTAGCACGTGTCTACACCCCCATTACACCCCATGAGAGAGGGCAAGGATTCCTCTCCCTGCACCCGCTGTCAGATTGTGAGAACACAGTTGTGCTAGGCTCCACCCACATAGCCACCTCATTCATTCACAGAGTTCAGTAAATGAATTAAATAAAAGTTGCGTCTGCTATCGCGCAGAAGACTTGTAGTTCTCAATGAACTACAAGGGTACTCATCATCGCCCTTGTACTTCAAGTACAGTTCCAGCAGCTGAATAACTTGTCTGCCCATATGAAGGTACTTCATCCAGGGTTGATCACTCACATGTGATTGCAGCATGAGTAATTACATGCGAGGTGGTTGGGATTAGCTGCAAGAGCTGGCAACCTCCCATTGCTTTTATTGGGGCTGCCACAGCTAATTGTGGGAACCCCCACTGAGGTTCTCCTAAATAATCCCATTCAGGGTGCATTCGCAAGTGTGAATGCACCATTAAGGCTTGGTTGAAATTCCCCAAACTGGGATACAGATACCAGTAAAGCCAGCAACAATGGAGGCACAGACAGCACTAAACACCAAAGTGTTAACAAACAAACAGAAAAAAAAAAAACAAAGAATTTTGGCTGGAATTCTTAATAGATATTTATATTTTAATATTCAGCCCTGTGTAGAATGCATTTGTTCATTTATTCAGACTTGCTGGTTTGTGTAATGTTCCCTGCACTGTAACCTATGCATTCACATTCAGTACATTTGTCACAATTGGCACTCTGTTTGTGTACAATTTTTTCTGGTCATTTGATCCTTTTCCTATTCCAGCCTGGCTAGTCTTGCTATTTTGTGCTGTCTCCCTCTCGGAGTTCGAGCTCTATTAATGGCTCCTTTAGTCAATAATTGACCTGGAGGACTCCTATTTTCTCCCTCACACTTCTGGGTGATGAGAGGGCTTCTAAACAGCAGAGCCTGGAACTAAATTGTCCTTGACACGGAGCATGAAGGACGAACTTTCGGTTCCCTTGCTGTAAGATTAGGAACATAGTATTTGTGGATGCTTGCCCTGGTTACTTAAGATTCTTGTAGCTTTTAGATCCATAAATCCAAAAATACTAATGGCATTTGATTGAATCTCCTTTTGGCAGGATGGGGATTGATTGACCCCTGTATTAGTTAAAGATTTGTCCTCCACAAATTGCAGAGTGTATAGTTAGACCCTTAATATTACAGAAGTTTGGAAAATGTAAAGTTGGTTTTACAGATATGATGTCAATGATAAGCTTTAGATTGTAGCCTAAATGTTTTCTTTAAAAGTGGTTGTCGTCATTGTGTCTCATTCTCCCTGTTGTGTTGTCAATCTTTTTATTATAGAACAGGAGATGTTGTAACACACAAAGGTGGGTGGAAACACCTATAACTACTAGGTGGCCAGAAACAGATTCTGGAACCACCTTCCCAGATCCCATCTTGAGATTAGGTAGCGTAACCAACCAAAGCATAGTAATAAAACTACTGTACCACAGTCCAGATTGTTGAGAAGTTGATTCACATTTAATGCGTGTTAACATGCTTTATGACACGCATTGATGTGCAATGGAAAGCCCATTACAACGCATATTAAAAAACAAAGCAATGCATATCATATGGCAGTGACATTTATTTTGATGTGTTTCTGTTGGTTTCTAAGGAAAAGACATAAGGGGGGAAAAAACAAACCTAAATGCCAAACTGTAATGGGCTCTACTTGTTTCTGAGCTGCTAACATTAACAAAACTGCCGTTGTCTAGTAACTGCTAGTCTATGCTGGTTTATGCACCTCTAGAAATAAAGCCTAAAATAATGCCAAATGTATCAGCGCTGAGCAAACTGTTGGCGCTTTATAAATACTGTATAATAATAATGTATTGGTGGCAGGTCATGTTCCATTGCTGACCACTTGATAAGCTGTTGCAAAATGAGTTGGTTTCACCATAAACCGTGGTTAACCAGATTTCCACCTTTAACAGACTTGTGTGCCCACAGATTCAATGGTTTTATGCCACCAAGAGTTGTGTCCTTCAGTGTGGGCATAAGGAAATAATAGTGGACTAATGCTGGGGGGTGATTGTGTCTGTATAGGTAACATGCAGGTTTTCTACTCTGTGTATGTTTCTTTGAATGCTGTACAACTTAACCTGTATTTCAGATTTTTTTTTTTTTTTAAATTTTATAACTCGATTTGTGTATGCATATATTTCAGGAAAACAATCACTGCACTAGCATTTTCTCCAGATGGAAAGTTCTTGGTCACAGGAGAGGTATGTGTTTTGTAGTGTGAATCGAGAGATTCCTTTAGTTAATTAATCATGTTTAAAGTAGTGATGAGCTTGAACGTACCTAGGTTCGGTCCAAGCAGGCTTCGAGTGTCGAATCTGAACTCCATTGAAGTCAATGGTAGCCAAATGTTAAACAGTAATGACAGTTTTCTTGGCTATGATAGGGGTTGTAAAACAAATGGTACGGGGTGCTGGACACTGCCCTGGAGAATGTGTGCCAAAGCAATAAAAAAGTTTAAAAACTGTTTGGCAGGGTGAAGCAATTTTACTAATGCTTAAAGCAAAACCTTATAAATGCAAATTTGCATGAAATACCATGCCCAAGGAAGCCCTTAACCTGCCTGTGAAGTGCTGCATGTATGCGATGTATAAGTGTTTAAATTGCCAGCAAAATTACAGCTTCCAGTAACTTTACTTCTGTTTGTGAATAAAATGGCCAGGGATTACATTCATTTATGCTAGACCCTTATGAGGGTCTGATATAGATGTTAATGAGGGACCACCTAACAAACAAAAAATGTATGGGGCTTGTGTTTTAAGGGGATATGCCATGTGAATATAAGACCAAAAAAAAATATGAGACCCCTCCAAAAATGCACTCCAGATCTTTGAGTATGCAGCCTGGTAGGCCAGGAAAGGGGAGTAGGAAGTAAGCATTTAGCCCCGCCACCCAAACCATGTAGAATTAGGATAAATAGGTAAATGACTTAAAAGATAAGTTCACCTTTTGTAACATGCTACACCCATTTTCAGCATGTAACATGTTACAAATGCACGGGACCCCACTCCCCCCTGATCCCCTGTTGTGACAGCTAGCGGGGGGAACTTCTCCCGCCCGCTAGCTGTCGCAATCTGAAAAAAACTCTGTCCACATGGCCACGTGTTCTGTGAATTGGAAAACTACAAGTCCCAACAGCCTTTGTGGCTGTCGATTTATAGTTGTCAATACTGCCTGCCCATATTGGAGGTACGGGCAGACAGGTACACAGACAGTCTGCAGGACTGTGGCACTATACGCACGATCTGCTGATTGTGGGTACAAGGCTTTACAGGCTCCTAACAAAAAGTAAATGCATATTATTTTACCTGCACAAAAGAAAACAAATGTGCCTTTTATTTTTTTTCTTTTTGGAAAAGTGATCTTATCCTTTACCAATAAAGAGCAAAATAGGGGAAACACATATTTCATTAATAGATGTATTTATACATTTAACCACTTTAAATAAAACATGAATAGATCCCTTCTGGTTTCATGTGAGAAAGAAGTCCATTTTGCATGCAATATAAAAGGTGTCAAGCCTTGCTTGTGTAAATTAGTTGCATTTTGTCCAGCTTCCCACATTGAAGAAACACCATTTCTGCCCTCTAAAATTTGCAATCGCTTCCAATACATGTGGGTCAATCCTCCCGAAACAAAAGCACTGAAGCCATCTGCGTCTAGATGCTTGATTGAGCAGTGGAGTCATTTAGGGACACCGTGGCATGACTAAAATAGACAATTATCCTGGTGTCATTAGAAAACCACAGCTCTGCTGCCCAAAGGCAACACCTTCTCCTTTTTGGAGGAAGATGCAGGGTAGAATACCTACTAGTCGCACCCCTGGGCAAAAATCAGCATGTTTGGTAAAAGGTAGGCAATGTGAGTAGTCCTGGTTCAGCTCACATCAACATTCCCTGTTTGTTCTGTCCTCCATAATTAGACTGCACAGATGTTGGCAGTTTTTTCTTTCCATTTTGTTGTTGCCTGGTTTTCTGCAGGACATCTATTTATAGTCCATCCCAGATGTTGGGCTTTTTTTCATCTGTATAGACATGTGTCCATTCTGACAAGCCAATAAACCTTCACGAAATTCCCCAGTACTTATAGAGCATTAAGTGGAAGCTATATCTGCTTCCAGTGGTCATCCACAAATTGCAGCTGGCCTCTTCAGTTTCCTGTCTCCACTTCTGTATTCAGTTTTTCCTCATCAAAAACATTTTAAGTTGGTGTCCAGGGGATGTGATGTATGCTGGAAGTGATCAGTAGATTGTTGGGGCTGGGTACTGGAAACTGGCACAACCAGAATGTAAACTGGAACCCTTGCCCAAAGCAACCATTTAAATTCTTGTTTGAAAGATGACTCATGATTGGTTTCCATGGACAAAAAAATTAAATTTTCTTCAACTTCCTTTTTTCTTTTTAATGTCCGCTATACTGAAATTACTTTTTCATCCAGGGAAAGATCTGTTTTCTGCTTTTTTGGTTGTTCAGGTTATTTAACTAATATTAAAAGTGATGCCATTTAGTGTGTGTGTGTTGTGATATTGTTTAGCTCAGTGGTAGAAGCATATTAGTAAGTCCATTCCACTCTGAGCTGTGTTTTAGAGCTTGTTTGCCCAATTTTATTAAAATCAAACTTCATCACAAAAACAGTTGCCCATGCAGTGGTTCAACCATCAAAAACAGGTAACAGAAAATCCTAAACCTTCTGATTCCCTCTTCAGCTGCACTACTGCTTAGTCCTGAACCTTGAGGGAAAGAAAAGGTAAGTCTCCTCAGTGGGAAAAAGTCAGGATAAAATGCTGACAGGGGTTTACATAATTCCCTACTCCAAAGCTGAAAAGACGTTTTGGCTTTAGATACGATTTTACCCCGGTTCACATCTATGCGGCCATGCGGGCTGCGTTTTACGCGGACACGAGAGCTTATTCATTTGAATGGACTCCCGTGCCCGTGACACGCAGGGAAAGAAGTCCCTGCACTTCTTTGGAGAACGCAGCCCGCACAGTAACCTTGGTTCCCAGTACGGTTGCAGTTTTCTGGTGCAGACGGCATGCCATTAGAACTAATGGCACCCGCTCGTGGGTCCGCATTTCTCTGTGCGGGTGGTGCAGCTGCACAGATTTTCATGCGGATCCGCAGTGGCACCACCCGCACAGATGTGAAGCTAGGGTTAAGGCTCACAAAGCTTTCTGATCACCCTGGAAGCCTTAAAACACAGGGCACTCTGTTAATGCAGATCTTGACCAGCCCCCTCCTGTACCTCAATATACAGTGGATTTAAAAAATCTACAAATCCCTGTTAAAATGTCAGGTTTCTGTGATGTAAAAAAATAAGACAAAGATAAATAATTTCAGAACTTTTTCCACTTTTAAACACTTGCTCTCCTGAGGATTTACTCCCCTTCCTGACCAGGCCATTTTTTGTGTTCCTTTAACTGACAATTTTGCGGTCATGCAACGCTGCACCCAAATGAAATTTACGCCCTTGTTTTCTCACAAATTGAGCTTTCTTTTGGTGGTATTTGATCACCTGTGCGGTTTTTATTTTTTGCGCTATAAAAAAAAGCGACAATTTTGAGAAAAAAAATATTTTTGACTTTTTGCTATTAAACATATCCAGTAAAAAAATTTTAAAAATCAAATTTCGTCATAAATTTAGGTCAAAATGTATTCTGCTACGTCTTTGCTAAAAAAAAAAAATCCTAATACTGTACGTGTAAATTAATTGGTTTACATGAAAGTTATAGCGTTTACAAATGGCAGTATATTTTTTTTTTTCAACTAGTAATGGTGACTTATAGCGGGACTGCGGCGGACATTTTGACACTGGGGGCAACTGACTTGGTGTCCTTGACATCCCCAGTGACACCAAAACAGTGATCAATGCTAAAAAAAAAAGCACTGACACTATACTAATGGCACTGGGCAAGAAGGGGTTAATATGAGGGGCAATCAAAGGGTTAACCATGTGCTGGGTGTGTTTTACTATGGGGCGATGTCTGTGTGCTTCACTGTAAGCACACTGCTTTGGATGGCTGTGCTGTGCACCTGCTGGGACCTGGTGATTGACAGCCGCTGTCGCAAATGGCAGGACGGTTAGGGTGCGCACGCGCTCCTTACCCGGAAATGCAAAATCACGTATATACACGTGATATTGCATACCCGTTCCGCCCTGTAGCAGTATGGCACATCTTGACTTGCCAATATTTGCCCACTCTTCCTTGCAAAAATACTCCAAATCTGTCAGATTGCAAGGGCATCTCCTTTGCACAGCCCTCTTCAGATCACCCCACAGATTTTCGATTGGATTCAGGTCTGGGCTCTGGCTGTGCCATTCCAAAACTTTAATCTTCTTCTGGTGAAGCCATTCCTTTGTTGATTTGGTTGTATGCTTTGGGTCGTTTTAATGCTGAAAGATGAAGTTTCTCTTCATGTTCAGCTTTCTAGCAGAAGACTGAAGGTTTTGTGCCAATATTGACTGGTATTTGGAACTGTTCATAATTCCCTCTACCTTGGTGATGTGCAGTGTTGTTTTTTGCTCCAAACATATCTTTTGGAATTATGGCCAAAAAGTTCAACCTTGGTTTCATCAGACCATAACACATTTTCCCACATGCTTTTGGGAGACTTCAGATGTGTTTTTTGCAAAATTTAGCCAGGTTTGGATGTTTTTCTTCGTAAGAAAAGGTTTCCATCTTGCCTTACCCCATGGCCCAGACATATGAAGAATACGGAAGATTGTTGTCACATGTACCACACAGCCAGTACTTGCCAGATATTCCTGCAGTTTTGGTGCTGTAGACCAGTTTTAGTCTCGTCTTTTTATCAGTTTTGGAGGGACGTCCAGTTCTTGGTAATGTCACTGTTGCGCCATATTTTCTCCACTTGATGATGACTGCCTTCGCTGTATCCCATGGTATATCTAATGCCTTGGAAATTTTTTTGTACCCTTCTCCTGACTAATACCTTTTTTAACAGTGAGATCCCTCTGATGCTTTGGAAGCTCTTTGCGGACCGTGGCTTTTGCTGTAGGATGTGACTAAGAAAATGCCAGGAAAGACCTATTAGAACAGCTGAACTTTATTTGGGGTTAACCAGAGGCACATTAAATGATGGCGGATGTGTACTGACTCCTATTTAACATGATTTTGAATGGGATTTGCTTAATTCTGAACACAGCTACATCCCCAGTTATAAGAGGGTGTGCACATATATGCAACCTTAAATTACATTAAAGGTGGAAAGAGTTCTGAATTTTTTTACATCAGAAAAACCAGACATTTTAATAGGTGTGTGTAGACTTTTTATATCCACTGTATACCCTTAACTGTGAGATACAGTAAGAAGTTGGCCCGGTCATTTGGCTAAAGCTTGCCTATTGTTGCAGCCTGGCTTTTGGGCCCCATGGACACTCCACAAGATTTATGAACATGCATGCAAGTTTCTGTTTTATATATTTTCTGCCTGTTTCCCCTTTAAACATGACCACAGGGTCACTTTAAGTGCATCACTCATGTGAGGTTGTGGTAAGCTTACTGCAGGCTCACTACTTTTGTCCTTTTGTAAAGACTGTGCTAGCTTGAGGCTTGGTGCCTGCCTGTTTCTGGCTTCAACACTGACTTTGAATAAGTATGTTGAATAGAAAGTCAGAATGAAGTCAGAAATCCTGATCTGGATCCTTAATTTATGAGCCTCAATGTTAAAGCTATTGGATCTGTTTGACCACCAGGCAACTAGTATTTTCATAAATAGAATTGCCATGGCAGTCTTCAGGTTATTTCAGCGTTGAGCTCTGTTTCCTTGCAAATTACCATTCTGATACTGCTGAAGTGAATCAGAATTGTAACGGTCATGTGACTCTTCATTCAAATATGAGCTGCTTTGTGGAGCTAATAGTTGCCATAGTGGGGATACACTAAGATATGCTAAATCATGTTATACTTATTTTTTTTCAACAGATTAGGGTGCTTTCACACAGCTATGTCTGCTCCTGTCAGCTGGGAATCCATGAACAAATTGGAGCTGAAGGAGACAGATGACACTTTTGTGACACCTTTGCCCATGATGGCTCTATGAGCGGCTGGGTATACATTGATGCACATCCATGTACATCAGGCTGCCTCCAATCTGTGACATTTAGGTCTAGGGAAACTAACAAGAAAATGGTCCTTTTCCATTTTTTTTCCCTGCATGGACTTTGAGATGCACATCCATTTACCGGTACTTTCCTCTGCCCATAGACCTGCAAAACAGATAGGTGAACCTTATTGGAAAGCCCATGTTAAAGTGGCTTTAAGCTTTTTATTAAAGAACTCTCCTCCAGGCCAAAAATTTGTTATCGGCTCATAACCTGCTGAGACTTTTTATAAGCATACCCATAAATGGTGTTCAATTTTGTATTCATATGAAACATCTACTTTTTCTACCACTTTTTGTATTTATAAATATTCTAGTACTGCCTGATATTCTTTCATCTGTGTTTTTGCATATCTTAGTGGTACATGTTTGTTTATGATATGTTGCATTTTACCCTACATTTTAATGTATTTTTTATGTCGGTAGGAAAATCTTTTTCTTAGTTTGTTCCAACTTTCCTTGTAGAGTGGACACATGCCAGCAGTACGGGTCTGGGATGTGGCTGAAAGGACACAGGTGGCAGAACTTCAAGAACACAAATATGGGGTGGCCTGTGTGGCTTTCTCTCCTAGCTCCAAATACATTGTATCTGTGGGATACCAGCATGACATGATTGTCAATGTGTGGTCATGGAAGGTGAGTCTTGGTTTCACTCTGTTTTTGAGCATGTTCTGAAATTTGATTGCCATATAAATACACAGCAGTGTCATGATTTTTTTCTCTGTTTTGTTCTTTTCATTTTATCTGTGTTAGCTTTTCCACTTCTCCACTCTTGCCCATAGAAAAAGATCACTGTCAGTTGGGAGTGTGTATTCAGTTTTTAAAGAAACCACAGACTGCTTTTCCATCAGTGTTATCAGGCTTTATAAACCATATTGGCACACATTTAAAGCAACCTTAACGGAAGGGTACCTATGCTGTAGCACACCACTATGCACCTATGCGTTGTGATGATCTGCATTGTTAAAAATAGGATAGATATCTATTTTGAGCATTGAGAATTCACTTAAAATGAATGGCTGCTTAACTTGCTGTACTTCAACACATGAAAATCCATGTTAATGCATACATATTCTCTTTAGTCAATCTGTAAAGGGGTCCACCTTTTTACTTAATCAGATATAGCAAGAAGAGGAAGTGATTAAAGGGTATCCCTTTCATATGTATTATTGAGGCTGGCTCAGCTGATCATCTGCTTTATTTGTCTTATCTGGGTGGTACAATGAAGGTAAACCAAGCGGTAAATCTGTTGTGGACAGCAGTCTGCTTTTCCCATTTGTTTCAGAGTTGGCAGTAATGCCGCTGTGAGCCTTGTAACAGTTTGTCAGATTCTGGCAATTGTAAGGTTAGAAGAAGGAAATAATATGATTGGTTTATTAAGGTTTGTCATTTTGCTTCCAGACACTTTTTGTACATGAGACTTGGTATGCCTGATTTTTATTTCTTTTGTTTCTACATTGCATCATTGTAGGGAAGTCATCCAACTGCCATTTAAGGGGTTAGAGAGTTTTGTATTCCTCTTACTGTGAGAATAGCTTCGCTGAATATACCAGGAATTGTATGTTTAGACACACTGGGACAGATGTAACAAAGTACTGGGTCTTTCTATCTGCATTCCACTGCAAAGCACCACTTTTGACATAAAGGCATGAATTGAGTATGATTTAACCTTACATAACCTCAATCTTCTTGTACAATCCATTCACACTTGTCACCCTTTCTTAAGGTGGGAATACACGATTAGAAAATTGACCGATCGGTCATCCGACGACCGAGAGGCGTTTGTTCGTTGGTCGAAATCGTGGCCCACATTAACAAATCTAAAAAAATTGTTCGTCGGGCAATACGTAGTGTTGACGTCTTCCGTACAATTGGAAGCAATGCGGTGTGCGTGTGACCTTGTAGCCACTTCCTTCTGGCCAGAACGAGCGATATAGATATACACAACAATTAACAGCAATGAGTATATCATAGTTTATTACATTACGTATATACATTAATAGTGATACATACAAATATAATATGCAGAATTCTGGTTTCGTTATCTCATTAGGCCAATCTACTTTTAACATTTGGATTTTTCGTTCGTGTTTACAAAGATTCCTTGGACATAAACATCTGGGATATCTTCTTTCTGTTTCTGCTCATGCGTGATAGCGCTTGATAGATTTTTTTGTACGACCGTCATACCACTGCATAGAAAATCGGTTGTTCGTTTGCGGAACGACAAAAAGTTTCACTGTTGTTCAACCGGATTTTTCCGTTCATAATATCGTTATCAGTTAAAACATCCTGCTCATCAACGAAGAGAAAATTGTTCAATCAGTGGTTCTGCAAAATTTTTTGTACAATTTTCTTATCGTGTGTACAGGGCATTACAGTATAACATATAATGTTAGGCCTCATTCACATGGCTGATTAAAACCGTGGTGCAGTAAGTTTCAGCGTAGATCTTTGGCTGATACCAGAGGTGTGCATGCACAACAAGCACTAAAAGATGATGCGCCCTGGAAGTAGTCAGTTTAGGGGAGATTTACTAAAACTGGTGCAGCTGTGCATGATAGCCAATCATCTTCTAATGTCAGCTTGTTCAATTACTGTAAGATTTGGTGATAAAAACCCGGAAGCTGATTGGTTTCTATACAGAGCTGCACCAGATTTTGCACTCTACAGCTTTAGTAAATAACCCCCTTTGTGTCTAGGGCCCGCTCATCTATCTTTAACCTCACATAACCAGATGTATGGTTACGTGTAGACAGTGGTGGCACCTGTTAGGGATCCGGGTATGACCAGAAATGTGTGGACTGACACAGGGAAACACAGGCTCCAGGTATAGTATAAACAATACAATTTATCAAAGACTAAACAATACATAAACGCAGTGCAAGACTAAACATAAACACAGTGCAACCAAACCTCCAACAGATAACAATAAGAACAATACTAAACGTAGTCGGGCAGGCTGGGTCGGTAGCAAACGGGCAGGCAAGGTACAAGGAGCAGGCGGAAGAGTAGTCAGGAATAGCCGAGGTCAGGACAGGCAGAGTTCATGCAGAGTCAGGATTAAAGCAGAATCAGGATCAGGCAGGAAGCAGACAGGATGCAGGTACAGGGGCTCATGGGAAACATACACCAAGGCCCTGATCACAGGCCTGGCCATTCCTTAAATACACCTGCTGTAATCAGCCTCAGGTGATGGCTCATTGCAGGAGTGAGCCTCTGGTTGCAGAGAGCACCCGCTGGCCAGCCCTGATACTGCAGCCTACAAGGCAGGTGAGTCCCACCACCACTGGCAAGTCCATTCCTGACAGCACCTTTAAGCCTGTCTTGAAAACGATTCTAAAGGCTTATTTTTTTTAAAGAAAAAATACCAAATATGTCTATACCTACTGCTGTGTGCAGAAATTTTGCACAGAGCAGCCCAGATCCTCATCTGCTTCTGGCCCCTCCCTCCTGTCGGGTGCCCCCACAGCAAGCAGCTTGCTATGGGGGCACCCATTGCTCCGTGTGTCCATTCACACACACAGGCGCAGCTCAGCCCCGCCCCTCTCTTCTCATTGGCTCACTAGCTGTGATTGACACTTTCTAGCTGTGATCCCACTTTCTCTTCTCTCTTCTCACTGGCTGAGACAGAAATCCCAGGATCGCTAAGACTGCGGTGCACATTGCTGGATCGAGAGGGGGCTTAAATTAGTATTTAGGGGGAGCTGGAGGGGCATGCTTTACAGAGAAGGTTTTTTACCTTCATGAACCACAGCCCTAATCATTTGTATGCATGAGGCCTTACTGATGCCTTTTAAGTAGAAATCCCACCCATTCTTAGGTCAAATCTATTCAATGCAGATGTAATTGTTGATCCATATTGTTTTTGTGTTGCATGTTAAGCAGGTCACTTTATAAGCATGATAAATGAACAAAAACAAAAATATTATGCAGTTTTGTACATTTATAATCACTGTTCTAAATGATGACTCTCTCACATAATGGGGTTGGTTTGATAAAGGGAAATGAACTGTTCACTTTGCAAATTCATTTTTCCTAGAGTTTAGAGAATGAGATGAAGCTCTTCTAACTTGCATCATTCAATCACGTGCAAGCAAAAATGCTTTTTCCTAGTACATGATTGGGTATTCTTTGCAAAGTGCAAAAAATAGAAACTTTTTACTCTATCAGGGCAAGCAGTCTCCCTGCTGTGAGAATACAGTACTGCAGTAGGGAAAATTCCACTGATTGTTAAAAAGAAAATGCATCTGTGCCCAGCTTAAAGAGATACTAAAGGTTCATTTTTTTTTTTTTTGTAAAATAACAAACATGTCTATACTTACCTGCTGTGTGCAGTGGTTTTGCACAGAGCAACCTGGATCCTCCTCTTCTCAAGTCCCCAGCAGGCTCTCCTGGCTCCTCCTTTCTGTTGGGTGCCCCCATAGCAAGCAGCTTGCTGTGGGGGCACCCATCACACACAGAGCCGCAGCTTGGCCCTGCCCCCAATTCAAAAGAAGTGGAGGGGAAAAATATTTAATGGAGTATAAATATCACAAATATACAAGTCTATGATGGATAATGGCGCTGGTGCATATTGTAACCGGTTTGCTGTCTCAGCCAATGAGGCGGCAGAGATCCGGGACACTCAAGGCTGTTGTGCACATTGCTGGATCTCGATGGGGCTAAGGTAAGTATTGAGGGGGCTGGGGGCACTGCTGCATACAGAAGATTTTTTACCTTCATGCACAGAGTGCATGAAGGTAAAAAAACCTTGAGCCTTTACAACCACTTTAACTTTACTGTAGATGCACTATGATATGAAGTGTGCATTGTAGTGATGTGTCCACTGTAATCTACTGCTTTTTTAAATCAAGATATAGTTCTGGCATAGTGACCACCCTTTTGACATGAATAAATAACATTCCTGACCTGGGCAGTCTAGGTCACATGGTCTGATTGCCTGTCTTTACTGCACTGAGTCTGTTCTCAATCAGCAGAGAGATAAGAGGATCAATAGGATTAGACTGCCTGATGTGCAGATGTAATTATTAACCAGATACACTAAACCTCTTTGATCTGATGAGTAACCAAAGTATAATGTACATTAGCACACATTGATAACATTGCTAAATTGCTCTTTTTTCCTAGTAAAAAAAAAGTGCTACAAAAAAGGTTAGCTGTTAAAGATCACATTGCCTGTTTGGAAGGATACTTGGCTTCTGTTACTACATAAGGGCCATATAGGACAAGGGGGCAGCATATCTAAAAAGATTTGGTAACACAAGATGCTAGCATAATACAACTGCAGAATACATTGCTGATGCAGATGAATGCGGAGTCAGAATGTTAGCTCTGTGTAGGGACACTGTGGTTGTCATTTTTTCTGTTTCAGCCTAATGGCATGCTTGTCTAATGGCATGCTTGTATGAATTACAGTAAGTACAAAAATCTGTAAGATGTTCCTGCCTTGCCAGGTTAAAGGTTGATTTATAAGCATCTCAAATCTTCTGGGAAAAGTCATGAATTTATTTAACCAGATTGCTACAGTTAAAAAACTAATCAATGCAAAAAGGCCTTGCAGCTCCTTTTACAGTTCAATCTGAACTAATAAATGAGAGCCCACATTCCTGGGAGAAGAGAGATATGCCTTCTCTTTGGAAACTGCTATTTATAGATCCTTATGTTCTCAGTCTGTTGATCATAGCTGTTTTCATTCTTGAATTTTGTATAGGTATGTTTTAGATCAGGGGTGTCAAACTGGCGGCCCTCCAGCTGTTGCGAAACTACAAGTCCCATCATGCCTCTGCCTTTCGGAGTCATGCTTGTAACTGTCAATCTTGCAATGCCTCATGGGACTTGTGGTTTCGCAACAGCTGGAGGGCCGCCAGTTTGACACTGGTGATTTAGATGATCCGAGCTCAGGTTGTTGAACACTATGCACACATTGGGGTTTGTTTACTAAAACTGGTTCACTCAGAATCTCGTGCACTTCTGCATAGAAACCAATCAGCTTACAGGTTTTACTGCAAAATCTTAATCAAACAAGCTGAGTTTAGAAGCTGATTGGCTACCATGCACAGGTGTACGAGTTTCTGAGCATGCCAGCTTTAGTAAATAAACCACATTGTTGAGCTGAGTTTTCAGAAAGTCGCAGACTGTGGAAGATCTGTTTTCAGAACTAGTATAATAATTCTGAGGGGTCTTTTAAAGAATAAATACATGTGTTTTTGTAATTAGGCTTCCTAATTCTGCATTCCACTTGACAATCAAATCTGCATAGATGGCCAAAAGTATGTTATTTCCATTCAAGGGTTCTGTTAATGCTACAGGAAAAGAAATCCATTTTCCACAATTCTGATCTTTCCACCTTGTGGCAACAGTTTGGGGAAGTTCCTTTTCTGTACCAGCATAATTGCGACCCTGTACAAATGGAACCAGGTCTTTATAAAGTTGGTTGTAAGATTGGTGTGGATGAACTTGAGTGGCCTGTACAGAACCCTGACCTCAACCCTGTTGAACACCTTTAGAATGAATCAGAATGGCAAATGTGAGATGGTATTCTCTTCCAACATCAGCACCTGATCCCACAAATGCTTTTTTGCCTTTTTGAACACAAATTCCCAAACTCACTTCAAAATCTTCTTGAAAATATTCCTAGCCGTACAAAGACTGTTACAACTGCAAAGGGGGGCTACCTCCACATAATGCCTATGCTATGAATATACATTTTTTTATTAGGTTAAAAACCACGTGTCCATTCATAGGGTCAGCACAGTGGCTTAGCGGTTAGCAATTCTGTCTTGCAGCACTAGGATCATTTGTTCAGATTTCAACCACAGCACTACCTGCAAAGAGTTTGCATTCTCTCCCTGTGCTTGTGTAGGAATTTTGTGCGAACTTTGGTTTCCTACTACACTCCAAAGACATGATACTGTCTAAATTGATCCTAGTATATGTATACATGTGAGGTAGGGACCTTAGATTGTAAGCTCTTTGAGGGCAGACCCTATAAATACCTATAATATGTACATCCTTCATGGCTATGTCTTCTTATTGTCTTTTCATAACTTCTAAAATGCAGTTTTGTTAAAATGTCTGACTTTTTGTTCTGCAGAAAAATGTGGTGGTGGCAGCCAACAAGGTCTCTAGTAAAGTAACGGCAGTTTCATTCTCGGAAGATAGCAGTTACTTTGTCACTGCTGGAAACAGACATGTCAAGTTCTGGTATCTGGATGAGGCAAAATCATCAAAGGTGAGTTGAGGAGTATGCCAGGACTGAATTGGAGACTATGAAAGCAAGAGTGAAAACAGCACTCTTTCAGGACAGCTTGTTCGAAATTAATCTGTATTTGGCCTCATTAGTAGAAAGAACTCAATATGCATTTCTTTATCAGTTTACATGTTAGTATATGCTATATAGTTACATAGTTAGTCTGGCTGAAATAAGACAAAAGTCCATCCAGTTCAACCATTAAAAAAGTTGTAATCCTATACCCACAGTTGATCCAGAGGAAGGCAAAACCCCCCCAGCAAAGCGTGACCCAATTTGCTCCTGCAGGGGAAAAAATTCCTTCCTGATCCCCCGAGAGGCAATCGGATATTCCCTGGATCAACTTTACCTATAAATGTTATATCCAGTTATATTCTATGTATCTAAGAGAAAATCCAGGCCTTATTTAAAGCAATCCACTGAACCTTTCCGTGTTTGGAGATTAAATTTCTTTTCCTCCAGACGTAAAGAGTGCCCCCTTGTCCTCTGTGATGACCTCAGGGTGAACAGCTCTACACCAAGTTCACTATATGAACCACTGATGTGTTTATACATGTTGATCATATCACCCCTTAATTGCCTCTTCTCAAGAGAGAATAAATTCAGTTCCTCTAATCTTTCCTCATAGCTGAGCTCCTCCATGCCTCTTATCAGTTTGGTTGCCCTTCTCTGTACTTTCTCCAGTTCCCCATTGTTCTTTTTGTGAATTGGTGCCCAAAACTGAACTGCATATTCCAGATGAGGTCTTACTAATGATTTGTACAGACCTAGATGACGAACGCAGTGCCTGGTCCCCTGCCCTTTTCACCAGCTCATGACAAAGGAACAGTCAATCTCACACTGCGCTGTCACTTGCGTAACAATTCCACTCTCAGTTGCACCCTGCACAAAGATTTTCCAGCTTACCAGACCACAAATCTATGTGCCAGCAGCCTGAGAGCATTTGTCACTGACTTAGGTTAATTATTCAATTAACTCTTTAAACTGCCACCACCGCCTTTTTACCACTATGATTTTAGCATAAACATCTGCAACACACACTGTCATCATAGACAGGTATATTCAGAGGATTATTATCAGTAGCACTCTTCAAGACACAAGGATTCTTTAGTTTGCATTAAAAGCTTTAGAGATAGTTTTACCACTTTTCAAAATATTGTTTATGAAATCAAATGATGGAAAAAAAAAAATAAAATATTTACAGAAAAGGAAGTTACAAAGACTTAAAGAGAACAATAACGCAACAGAGAAATAAAAGGAGATAGAAATGAAGAATACTTGCAAAGTCCTGGTTTTAGCAGAGTCCAATTGTTCAAGAAAAAATGTTGCCGTGGCTCTCAAGTCCGTTAAGATGTTCCTTGGTTGATGTTAAATGAGAACTTCCTTTCCAGGTCCTGTCATCCCCTTTTTTTGTGATATAAAAGGGGTGTCACCAGAGAACAACTGACCAATCTTCCGGTTTAAGGATGGGTGCTGGGAAGTCAGCACGTTTATGACCAAGTCCCAACTATAGTTTCATAAACTTCCAATATTTGCAGGTGGTATTCTAGAAAAGTGTTTATCAACCTTTTTCCAGTTGGGGCGCCCTTGAAAAGTATTTTTAGTCAAGAGGCACCCCTGTCCAAGGCTTTGTGATGCGGAATGCACGCAAAATCGCACTCATTCCTGATACGCAGACAAATGCTCTGCTCTTTAGGGGTACCCCATACATTGGCAAACGCGGGGTGTTTTTGTTGTGGTGCAATTTTGAAACTAAGGTCAGGGACGACTTTCCCTACATTTCTGTGGGTAAAGCAGCCCATTGAAATGAATGGGCTGCCCTAAACACAGCCACACAGATGTGAACCCAAGGGCCTGTTCACCTGTGAGGTTGCAGGGTGGTAAAACCAAGCAATTGAGCTGCTTTTACCACCCCCATCTACTCCCCTTTTAGCTGCAGAAACAGCAGCTGGGGGTATACACATGCTGTTGCCGCAGCTGGAAGTATACCTCCAGGTGAATGGAGTTGAACTACAACCACCCTGCAACTGTGTGCTCATTGTGGTGTGGTGATTGATGCTGGGGTTAAACCAGGTGGTGAGGAGGCAACATATTGCCTCTTCACCACATGTCAAATGCCTTTGAAAAGCGATCTGAGCATGGATTGCTTTTCAGAGGAGCAGCAGTCCTTGCTGCTATTAGGAACAAGTCCTAAAAAAGCAGTTCTGATAGTAAAGGAATAGTGGGTCGAGATTAAAAGTAAAATACATATACACACAGATAAAAACAAACAAACACACACACACATACAAACACATGTACACACACATACATGTACATACATACATACATACATACATACAGAAACACACACACACAGATGCATACACATGTGCACACACACACATGTACACGTACCCACACACAGGCACATGTATACAGCATTATAAAAGTTACATTACCTTAGCTTCCATCACACAGCCTGGTACTGCACTCTAGGGGGAAACAGAGAGCACAGAAGACACTCCCCTTCCCTTTGCTTTCACTTTGCTCAGCGGTCTTACGGCTCCCAGTGCCGAGGTACAGTGCGGCTGGGGATAAGGAGCTCAGACTCAGGTGACAGCCATTCTCCCCACGGCACCCCTGAAGACCTCCGGCAGCACCCCAGTTGAGAAAGGCTGTTCTAGAAACTGACAGAATATTATTCAAAATTATATTTCATATCCAGGGATACCAAACACTGCGTACGTTTGTCACCCATGAGGCAGAGACTACCTTCTCTCCTTTTGTATGTGCTAGGGTAGTCATGTATGACCTTGATTTATTTGGTATGATATTCCCCATTCAAATATATACTTAATATTAATGTGTCCTGTACCTGTTGAATTCTGTGAATTGTATGTGGAATTGTTAAGTTGTGGAATAGACGTTTTTTGGTATGTTCTGCATTCCTAGAGTTTAATGGCCTTACATGTCATCTGTGACAGCCTTGACTGAGTTATTATTGTTTTACGATAGGTCAGAGGGAACAGTTTTTCATGGTTCATGGAAACAGACATCCTGCCAAGACTAATTAGCTGTTTATCTTTGAGAAATAGTCAAAATGTACATTTAAAAATAAAACTTTCTGTTTATTATTTACATTTTGTAGTTTTTTTACACAGTAACTTGCATTTCCAGTTTAGTGAACCTTGTACCTATTCAGTCAGTAACTTCTGAGCTGGATTCTGGGGTGCTTTAGGGAAAATATTTCATATATAATAATATAAATTTATTGCAATTATCATTATTCTTTCAGGTGAACTCAACCATTCCACTGTTGGGGCGTTCTGGCTTGTTGGGTGAGCTCAGGAACAACTTCTTCACAGATGTTGCATGTGGAAAAGGCAAAAAAGCAAGCAGTACCTTTTGTATAACATCCTCTGGCCTACTATGTGAATTCAATGACCGTCGATTGCTGGACAAGTGGGTGGAGCTCAGGGTGAGTGTGGTCAGTACTAGTGTTTGTATTAGAGAAGTACATCGGGTTCAAAGCCCAGATGAAGATTGTTCTACACCAGCACAACCCATCTTACTTGAAGGAGCTGGAGCAATTTTGCCTTAAAGTATGAGCAAAATCATAGTGGCTAGATATACTAAGTTAATAGAGACATACTGTACCCCAAGAGACTAGCAGCTGTACAGTAATTGCAGCAAATGTTGACTCTACAAATTTTGACCTTTTGGGGAAAGGGGGTTATTACTTATGCACATTCATGACTTCTGTTTTTTTGTGTTTTGATTGTTTGTGCAACTATAAAGTTTAGTTTGCACTTTCAAAGTCATAGACATTTTGTGTACATTACATAGTACAAAGCTGCAAGAATATATTTTAATTTCGGGTAGTAATATAACAAAACAGGGAAAAACAGAGTTAAGGTTTGTGATTACTTACGTATGGCACTGTATTACTTCCCTTGTCCAGAAAATCCTCTCCAGTTCCCCTAAAATGGTTTTCAGTTTGCTGCTGGGGCTTTGACTGGTGGCATGATTTTGGGCTAATGTCATAGAAGCTGCGGTTTCCCTAGAAATTGAATGGAAGCTCAGACGGGGCATTAAAAGAAACCTTTTTCAACAAGGGAGGCAATGGCAGACACATTTTGTGGTGGCAGTACTTGTAGTTTCAGACATTCAAAAAGGATGGCACGTGTTAAATGTAAACTGTAATGTCTAAAATTTTTGCTATGCGATAGTTTGTTGTGAATTCATAAATTTTATATCTGTCACCATTGGCAATCTTGCCTACATGCATGATTTGTGAATGCTAACAGTTGCTGTTACATGGTTTTTCATTCATATGTTTAAACTTCTTCACCTTCTACCAAACAGACCACTATAGCCAGCTGCATATTGGTGAGCCAGGACTATATTTTTTGTGGCTGTGCAGATGGAACAGTTCGAATCTTCAACCCAAGTAACTTACACTTTCTCAGCACTATGCCAAAGCCACACTGTCTGGGTGTAGACATTGCTACCATCACTGAAGCCAGGTGAGCTCAAATGGAAAAGTGAATACATTTAAACAGATGTATCTTTTCAGTCTTTTCTCTAAGGCTCTGTTCACACCTGAGCATATATAGCTCGAAGCTCCAAATTGCTCACTATTTATTTTGGAGCTTTGAGATATCAAATGCTCAGTATTTAAAATCCCATGCATTTTAGTCAGAAAATGTATTATTTTTCAATAACAATCATAAAATAAAACATAGTTGTACCTTCCGCATAAAAAGAGATTTCACACCTAACATAAAAACCACTTAAAGTCTTTGTACACTTAAAAATTAAATTATAATAATCTATCTCTTTAAATATTTCAACTCCTATACATTTTTACTGATTTCGCTATCTAATATCTGGCTGATCCTGCCAGTTCCCCTTCTTCCTGGTTGAAAACTGATCACACTAAGCAGGTAAGCCTATCCATGCAATGGTATGGTCATCATGGCTCAATTTGGAGCCATACCCCTGCGCATCCCTACTCTCCATTGGTTTCAATCCCCAGCCTTGCTGTTAAACTGCACAAGTCAGCTGGGGATGGGGGGAAGTGATGTATGCAGCAGGGATTCTAGCTTGCGCTCCATTTCCCTGCAAATGCTTAGCCTTGTCAGCATACATCACTTCTGAAAGTGACACAAGCTCTTGCAGAACAGTCATGCCCCCTGGCCCCTCTATGATACGCAACAGCAATCCTGACCTTTATGAAAATGTTAAAGGTATCTAAAAGCAGATTTTTAGTTTTTATTTTTGTCTTTACAACAACTTTAACTGAAAGCAACACACATACCATAGAAAATGCAAAACACCAATCAGTCTATTCCAAAACTCCTCTAAGCATTCAAGAGCCATATGGATTGACTGAAAAAAGCTATATGGCTACATTGTGGAATGAGAGCAATTACTTCTATATTATTATTATTATACAGGATTTATATAGCGCCAAAAGTTTGCTCAGCGCTTTATAACGGGAGACAATACAGCAACAATACAGTTCAATACAAGAGGGATTTGAGGGCCTTGCTCCTTGGAGCTTACAATCTAGGATCATTTACCAGAAGGTAGCAATGTATACAGAACATTACCAAGATGGGAAATATCTTCCACAATATTAAGCGATCTCTGAAGGCACCTCCCCAGTTCCAAAATGCTCAGTAAACCAACTCCTGCAATAATATTTGCGGTTTTTATCACCTCTGCCAGACATTTCTGCCATGGACTGCACTACAAAGAAATGGGATACGTTGCAACACTTTTAGTTGCAGCTTTATAGATGCTAATGAGGACCTGCTCTGAAAAGCCTGCTGTCCATAGCTTCCTCGTAAAGTACAGTCTTTGATGAGCCTTGCCCACCAGATGGAATATATGCCCTGTCCACGTCAAATCCTCCCTAATTAATGCGCTCAGAAAAAGCAGGACTCCTCTACCTTCTCAACCTTCATCCCATCAATCACCACAGGCTCATAGATAACTTCCTATACTTTTCTAAAATCAATATTAATTTCCTTAGTTTTCGCTTCATTTAACTGTAAGTTCTCTCTGCATCAAGCAACTAGATTTTCAATATCCTGGCAATATGCAGACTCGTCGCTGCCCTTTATTTTTCCTACTACCATGGTGTCATCTGCAAATTTTAAACACAGAGTCCACCTGGAAGTGGGAGAAAAAAAAATCAAGTGTATAAAGTAAACAAAAAGGGGCTCAGCAGTTCCTTGTGGCAACCCTGTACTAAAGGATAGCTTTGATAAGTAACAGTTTCCAGCTTTTACCCTCTGCTGCCTATCAGCCAGAAAATCCAGGATCCAGTTACAAAACGTTGGGCTTAATCCCAAAGTGTTCAGCCTAACAGCAGGTTACTTTGGCAAAATTTATTCAACTCTGAACTAAAATCAATAAAAAGCATGCAGACATATACCGTATTTTTCGCACCATAAGACGCACTTTTTTCCCCCCAAAAAAGGGGGGAAAATGTCAGTGCGTCTTATGGAGCGAATATGGAGCGGCCGGTCCGGTATTTCCACTGCCGCCGTGTCAGAATACCGGGCCGGCCGCTCAGCTCTACAGCGGGACCTTATAGAGATGACTGCTGACCTTTGGGGAGGGGGGGGAGCGGGTACCTGAATTTGACAGATACCCGCTCCCACTTCCGTGGAGTTGTTCTTTCATCTTACCCGTCATCCCTGTGCTGTCTGCAGTCTCTGGTCATCCCTGTACTGTGTCTGCAGTCTCTGGTCATCTCCTGTACTGTGTCCGCAGTCTCTGGTCATCTCCTGTACTGTGTCCGCAGTCTCTGGTCATCCCCTGTACTGTGTCCGCAGTCTCTGGTCATCCCCTGCACTGTGTCCGCAGTCTCTGGTCATCCCCTGCACTGTGTCCGCAGTCTCTGGTCATCCCCCTGCACTGTGTCCGCAGTCTCTGGTCATCTCCTGTACTGTGTCCGCAGTCTCTGGTCATCTCCTGTAGTGTGTCCGCAGTCTCTGGTCATCCCCTGTACTGTGTCTGCAGTCTCTGGTCATCCCTGTACTGTGTCCGCAGTCTCTGGTCATCCCTGTACTGTGTCCGCAGTCTCTGGTCATCCCCTGCACTGTGTCTGCAGTCTCTGGTCATCTCCTGTACTGTGTCCGCAGTCTCTGGTCATCCCCTGCACTGTGTCCGCAGTCTCTGGTCATCTCCTGCACTGTGTCTGCAGTCTCTGGTCATCTCCTGCACTGTGTCTGCAGTCTCTGGTCATCCCCTGCACTGTGTCCGCAGTCTCTGGTCATCTCCTGTACTGTGTCCGCAGTCTCTGGTCATCTCCTGTAGTGTGTCCGCAGTCTCTGGTCATCCCCTGTACTGTGTCTGCAGTCTCTGGTCATCCCTGTACTGTGTCCGCAGTCTCTGGTCATCCCTGTACTGTGTCCGCAGTCTCTGGTCATCCCCTGCACTGTGTCCGCAGTCTCTGGTCATCTCCTGTACTGTGTCCGCAGTCTCTGGTCATCCCCTGCACTGTGTCCGCAGTCTCTGGTCATCTCCTGCACTGTGTCCGCAGTCTCTGGTCATCTCCTGCACTGTGTCTGCAGTCTCTGGTCATCTCCTGCACTGTGTCCGCAGTCTCTGGTCATCTCCTGTACTGTGTCCGCAGTCTCTGGTCATCTCCTGCACTGTGTCCGCAGTCTCTGGTCATCTCCTGCACTGTGTCCGCAGTCTCTGGTCATCTCCTGTACTGTGTCCGCAGTCTCTGGTCATCCCCTGCACTGTGTCCGCAGTCTCTGGTCATCTCCTGCACTGTGTCCGCAGTCTCTGGTCATCTCCTGTACTGTGTCCGCAGTCTCTGGTCATCTCCTGTACTGTGTCCGCAGTCTCTGGTCATCTCCTGTACTGTGTCCGCAGTCTCTGGTCATCCCCATCCTGAACTGTGTCCGCAGTCTCTGGTCATCTTCTGTACTGTGTCTGCAGTCTCTGGTCATCTCCTGTACTATGTCCGCAGTCTCTGGTCATTTCCTGTACTATGTCTGCAGTCCATTAGTTCAGAATTTTTTTTTTCCTGTTTTTCTGCCTCTAAAACCTAGGTGCGTCTTATGGTCAGGTGCGTCTTATGGAGCGAAAAATACGGTAATTATTTTGTTTTCTAAATGTGATAATGCAAGGCCAATACAATGGCATCCTCCATAGATCTATTTTCCCTAAAATCAAACTGGTAGCTATCTAGCCCTGGGGGAATACAATGTTTAATATGATTTAAGATTCATTTCTCAAAACATTTCATTACAATTGGAGTCAAGGCTACAAGGCGATAATTAAGGTAAGAAATACTGGACAGGACTGGAAAAATCGATGATTTTAAAGTAGTAGTAAACTCCCATTGGACACTTGTGCCTACAGGTAAGCTTATAATAGAACTTACCTGAAGGTAAAAGGAATATCTCCCAAATTTGCATTTGTATGCACAGCATACTCCTGCCTTTCCTTCAGAGCTCTGTGCTGCTGCCAAGACTCCCGTGCACATGCGCAGGAGTGATTTCAATGCTGCCTTGACATTTAAAGACCAGAGCCAGTGAACCCGGAAGGAAAATCGAGTGAAGATGGAAACCTTGTCAGTGGTGACAATGCTGTTGGAGGGCTTCATTTCAAGGCAAATCTTTCAAAATGTGCTAGAATGTGATGCATATTAGCACATTATGCCTTTACCTTACAGGGAGAATATATTTATTTATTTATTTATTTTAGTTACGTTCACTACTGCTTTAAGCAAGAAGACACTATACCCTGCTCTAAAGACATTTACCAATTGAAAGGCACATTTCTGTACAAAAGTCCCTAAGATGTTATGAAGCCCTAATCCTCGATAAGCCCAAATGCATGTCCTGAGCATCCTCTGATAATGTAGGGGACCTAGTGATTATATCATTATTTTGAGGATCCAAAAGGACATAAAACTGTTTAGTTTCTCTAAAGAAGTCTCTCATCACCCTATCCCAGCCTGTCTTTTTGATAATTTGTTGCTGACTGGATGGTGACTGTGCACATTTGAGCATTCAAGACACCTGCCTAAAGCTCCAAAAGCTACATGAGCTACTTTTGAAGTAGGTTTGGGCTCTCTTGTCCAATAGACTTCAATGGGAATGCTAGAAAATGCTCAAATTTATTTTTTTCAGGTTTATTTTAGGCATTTTTAGCATGTAAGAACTGATCTTCTCACCTAGTGTTTTCCATTGGCTAAAACTAAAATGCCAGAAGCTTGAATAGATATGTAATCGTTTGTAATTTGCTTCAAAAAGGCCTGAAATTTGCTCTGCTCAAGTGTGAATGCTGCCTAACTCAGCTCCTAACACTCTGGGAGTTTTGGGTGTTCCTGCTTTCCTTTTCATGTTCCAGCTTTTCATGTTAATCTCCACGTTATGGGATTAATACAAAAATCTAAATTTAGGAGATGTGCCCTTTGATACTGGCACAGAAGGTGCGCAGATCCCGGAACAGATATTAAACCAGTAGAGTCCTCAGAGATACAATATAAGAAGCTGTTATATGTTTAAACCCTCCAGCATCCAGAATCTGTTTTAGGTGATCTGACCTTTTAGTGGCTTTTAGTCTTGAATCTGTGCCTGTGCAGAAGAGCTGAGAGGAAGCTCCTAAATTAAAAATATCCAATTGTATTATATGTAACTGTACACTAGAGTTTACCCTGGTCTCAATATCTTCTGGCACTCAGTGATAAATGGATTTAAAGCTCAACAGTAGGGAAGGGTTAAAAACCTCTGTCAGTCTTTAATTGGTGTCCCCTCTAACAGATTTATTTTACTCCCTGTTCTATTTTACCCACATCAAATGGGTAGTAAGTGAGAAAACATGTCCATGGCCATCACGACTCTACAGATGGCTCTTCTGGTTCAGCCAGGAAGTCCTCATGGTCCAGGATAGCAGGTGTGCCTGAATAGGTTATAGTGATGGTAGTTTGGAAATTCTGATAAAATGGGAGCAGGAAGGATTACTCTGGTTAGGGGGACAATGAAGGCAACACTCTTGTGCTTCTGTGCTTTGCATTCAGGAACTCAGATCTTTTTTGTGGAACGGCAGGATTACAGACAGAATTAATAACTTGTAATATTTATTCCTTCATTGCTCTTGCAGTTTTTTGTTTTATAAAAATTCCAGTTACAAATTCATAATTATTGCATGTTGGGTTGAGAGATAGATTCTTAGAGTGGAGTTAACAAATGGGAGCAAAAAACTGTAAAATGCAAAATAAAAAGCTATGAGAAGAAAGGACATTGCTGTAAGCTCAAGTGATATGAACATTGGTTCACCCTTCAAGTTGGACTGCTGTGTATTGGTGACAGGGATGTGTATAAACCTCATTCTTTGTTAGCAGTGCGGTTTTTCATAGGCCTTGAAGTTATAATATTCACTAGCCTTGCATTCTCTTTTTGTATTTACAATTCATTTGCATAGATTATAAATGCATTCGCTGGCTCAAACATGGAGCAGTGAATGGAATTCAGGCCAGTCATCCTTACTGTAGTTTTCTTAAGAACAGTCATTCTTTTGTCCATGTCTCTGCCTGTGGGTTTCTTCTCTCCTGACCCCCAGCCCACAGCTATATGGTTTGCCTTTCAATAGATCATGTGTTTCAGTCACTAGGCCTGTGGTGTTTTAATTATTCAGATGGCCTCTGTAATTCTGCTGGCTTGTCTTTCAGCTGCATATATGAGCAGAACATCTATACTATTTATTTATTTACTACAGGTTAATATTTTAGTGCTGTCAATGTACATAGTGCTTTACATATGTATTGTACATTCACATCAGTCCCCTATCCTCAAGGAGCGTACAATCTAAGGTTCTTAACTCACATTCTGTTGGATGCACTGTGTTTATTATAGTGACACAGTGGTTGCTGTTTATATGTTATTTGGGATTTGTGCCTAGAGCACTGTTTGGGGGGTTGGAGCACCTCTGTGTTTAGTCCCATTTTGGACTTTTTGTTTTTTTGTTCAGTGTTCTTGTCCTTGTATCACTATCACATCCGTTTTTAGGATCATTTTGGACACTATTGTTATTTATTGGTCCCAATTTGGACTTTTTTTGGCACTTTGTTGCACTAGTATTGTGTGAGTGTTATATATAGACACCTGTTTGCATTATCACGTATATGTTTTGTGTGTATTTATTATTAATTTGCATATTGATTTATTTATGATATATTAGTCCTTTTTTTGGACTTTATTTTTTTGCACATGTTGATGTAATTCACTTTACATTGTTATATACCATTGTCACTTTATATTTGTTATTATTAATAATAATGTTTCTTTTTCTTATATTTAAGTTTTTGGGTTCATATGGTATTAGCGCCACATCAATTTTGTTGGTTTTTCAGGGACAACATGTTCACTTGCTGTCTTATATACAGTGGGGATCGAAAGTTTGTGCACCCCAGCTAAAAATTTGTATTAATGTGCATAAAGAAGCCAAGGAAAGATGGAAAAATCTCCAAAAGGCATCAAATTACAGATCAGACATTCTTATAATATGTCAACAAAAGTTAGATTTTATTTCCATCATTTACACTTTCAAAATAACAGAAAACAAAAAAATGGCGTCTGCAAAAGTTTTGGGCACCCTGCAGAGTTAATATCTTGTACTGCCCCCTTTGGCAAGTATCACAGCTTGTAAACGCTTTTTGTAGCCAGCCAAGAGTCTTTCAATTCTTGTTTGAGGTATCTTTGCCCATTCTTCCTTACAAAAGTCTTCCAGTTCTTTGAGATTTCTGGTCTGTCTGTCACGCACTGCTCTTTTAAGGTCTATCCATAGATTTTCAATTATGTTGAGGTCAGGAGATTGTGAAGGCCATGGCAAAACCTTCAGTTTACGCCTCTTGATGTAATCCCCCATGGATTTTGAGGTGGGTTTAGGATCATTATCCATTTGTAGAAGCCATCCTCTCTTTAACTTCAGCTTTTTCACAGATGGCATCAAGTTACCATCCAAAATTTGCTGAAATTTTATTGAATCCATTTTTTCCTTCTACTCGTGAGATGTTCCCTGTGCCACTGGCTGCAACACAACCCCAAAAGCATGATTGATCCAACCCCATGCTTAACAGTTGGACAGAGGTTCTTTTCATTAAATTCTGTGCCCCTTCTTCTCCAAACGTACCTTTGCTCATTCCGGCCAAAAAGTTCAATTTTAACCTCATCGGTCCACAGAACTTGTTTCCAAAATGCATCAGGCTTGTCTATATGTTCATTTGCAAAGTTCAAACGATGATTTTTGTGGTGAGGACATAGAAGAGGTTTTCTTCTGATGACTCTTCCATGAAGACCATATTTGTACAAGTATCTCTTTATAGTGGAATAGTGTACCACAACTCCAGTGTCTGCCAGATCTTTCTGGAGGGATCGTTCAGTCAAACATGGGTTTTTGAATTGTTTTTCTCACAATCCTGTGAACTGTTCTGTCTGATATTTTTCTTGGTCTTCCAGATCTTGCTTTAACTTCCACTGTTCCTGATGACTGCCCCTTTCTTAATTATATTCCAAACAGAGGATATTGACATCTGAAAACGCTTTGCTATCTTCTTATAGCCTTCTCCAGCTTTTGTGAGCGTCAACTATTTTCAGTTTCAGTTTTCTAGACAACTGCTTAGAAGAACCCATGGTGCTGATTGTTGGGGCAAGGTCAGATGAGTCTGGGCATTTAAAACCTTTGAGATTGACATCACCTGGTCTTCCCAGACGATTATTGAGAACAATCCATGACACTGGCAGGTCTCAGCTTGGCAAAGGGGGCAGTGCATGCTATAAATTCTGCAGGGTGCCCAAACTTTTGCAGACGCCATTTTTTTTTTTTTTCTGTTTTTTTGAAAGTGTAAATGATGGAAATAAAATCTAACTTTTGTTGACATATTATAAGAATGTCTAATCTGTAATTTGATGCATTTTGGAGATTTTTCCATCTTTCCTTGGCTTCTTTATGCACATTAATACAAATTTTTAGCTGGGGTGCCCAAACTTTCGATCCCCACTGTATTCCACCCACTTTCAGATGCCACTGTAACGTGATAATCAATGTTATCCACTTAACCTGTCAGTGGTCATAATGTTATGTCTGATCAGTGTGTGTATGTATATGTGTATATATTATATTTGTAAGCGTTGTGGTATCTTAGAACTCTTAGATCTCTTGCGAGTATGCAGTTAGATGTTTTTTTTTCTTGTAGTCCCACATATGTGCATTGAATTCATTAACTTAAAAGGTTTTTTCTTATTTGTCAAGTGCCTATAAGGTGATAACAGTAATTGGACCACATAAACTTGCCAACTGCTTCTAAGTAGAAAGATGCAGCACTGTGATAATATAGAGAAACCCTAATTAATTGCCTTATTGTTTTCTACTTTCTAGCCGCCTCTTCTCCGGTGCTACAGATGCCAAGTACCCAGACACTGTGGGAATGACCTTTGACCCCACCAACCAGTGGCTGTCTTGTGTGTATAATGACCACAGTCTGTATGTATGGGATATTAAAGACTTGAAGAAAGTGGAAAAGTCTACTCAGCCTTATACCATTCTTCTTGTGTGTGGAGCGTTGAGGTATTTATCATGTTTATTTCTGTCCATTACTTCTAGGGCATCAAAAAGGAAAACGTAGCTCTATTTTGTATTGCATTTTTGCTGTAAGTCAGATAAAACAGAATGTCCACATTTATGATTAGATTTTTTTTTTTTTTTTTTTAAGAGTCTGTAACATACCAACTTTTATAGCAGTGTAAACATAATTGTAGTTTACAATGTAGCAGCTGATGTAAGGAAAGCGTTGAATAACGTAAACAATAGTATGAGTTCTCATTCATTTAATATTCTTAAAATAGATCTAAACTCCATTGTTATACTATCATATAAGCCATCACTTTTCACATGTATCCACACACGCAGCATCTGCAAACGGTTAGGGACGGATGTCTGAGCCAGGATCCATCTTTCGTTGTCCAGGGTCGCCCTTCCATCCTCAACTGCATGTAGCATCTGGTTCCTCTCAGCCTGTCAATACTTTATACTAGGGATGCCCCAAAATTCCGGCAGCCGAAAATAACCCTATCACCATTTTGCCGATGGGAACAGTGAGCCAATACAAGTGCCGATAATTGTGTCCCTCAGGCATTTGGCTGCTAGCAGCTGTCCTCTGGGTAGTGCATGAAGGGAGTAGTTGCGGCTGTCACATCCTGGCTCCACCCTGCCCTGTTCTCACTTGAGGAGGATTTTCTGAGAAAGCTTGGAAATCTACCCTTCCTATGTTATGGGATCCTGTAAGCTAGGAGGAACTCAGAGTCCATATAGCAAAACATGAGGAACGCTTTTCCTGTTACACCTCTGTGGCATCTTGTGTGCCTCTAATTTGGTTCTGGGCATGTGTTTTCCTTTCTCAAATATTGTGTGACACAGTTGGGGAAAAAGAAAGAATGTGGTTTGGGAAGAGCTCTGATTTGAGACCAAGCAAAGAGTCAGAGGGGGCAGTGGGTGAAAGATTCCAGGGTGCATGTGCTCATATGACATGTGTGCCTGACTGAGGAAGGGGGCTGATAGAATGTGACACCCCTCTACTAGAGAGAGACATGGGAGAACTGTGGCTCAAATACACATCGCTGAATCGAGATGGGACTCAGGTAAGTATAGGGGGGGGGGAGCTTCACTCAGAAGGTTTTTTACCTTATTGCATAGAATGCATTAAAGTAAAAAACCTTCTGCCTTTAGAACAACTTTAAGACTGATAGGGGGGCTGGGGACAAAGAAAGCTACAATATAGTTTTAACCACACTAATGGTGCAATGTAGGGTACTTTATTTATGTTTGGACGTATACTTTTGTACGCATCAACCTCTTTCTTTGTGTGAGGCAAATCCTGAGATTAAGAAGCATGTCTGCTTAAGTGGGCATGGAATGTCTTTATTTGCATCCTGCTGACAGAAAAGAGAGAGGCTACTTTCACACTGAGGAGTTTTTTCAAGCGTTTTTTTGCGTTAAAAAGAGTGCCTGAAAATCTCAAGAAAACTGCTTCCCTATGTATGTGAATGTATATCTATGTATGTTTTCACACTGAGGCGTTGCGCTTGCAGTGCGGTGTAAATACTCCTGCTTGCAGCATCTTTGGGGCATGTTTGGGGAGTTAAAAAAACAAAAACGCCTCTTCCCCATTTCCTCTGAGAAGCGGTTTTGGTGCAGATTTAAGTCACGTGTCCTTTAAAAAAAACGCGGTAAAAACGCCTATGCGGTTTTGTGGCAGATTAGTGTGAAAGTAGCCTAATCATGATCTGCTGTGTTTTAGGATTAAGGATTTTTACACTTTATGCTCCATTTGTTTATAGCTGATGACATCTGCTTCCTCATCAGCAAAAAAGAGCTAAAACTCAGGAAATGCTGACCCTCTTATTGTTGAACAGGTTTAGAGGTTAAGCGGGTTTTCTACTTTTTACACACCAATATAAAGTCTTTCATCCCTCTCAACCTGCACAAAAAAAAAACCAAGGTTTTCAACCCTCTCTGATCATCACATCCTCCAAGAGTGGTTAAACAAATCTAGTGCCATGCATGCAGTATTTAGAGGTGCCTGGAAGGTCTTGAATACGTCTGTCAAGCACCCCCCTTTGACATCAGTGTTTGTGTAGACTATGTTCAGCCTGTATGTTAGCTGCTCCTTTGCAAGCAAAGTGTCCAAAATGTTAATTAAGTTATATTTAATCATTTAAGGAAAATTGTCATTTTGAAACAAAATTCATTTTTGTTAGGCTGGAATTGTCCATTGTCGATTCAGTACGGCTGTAGAAAAGCTTAAAATTTTCATAACATTTTTGTTAGAGTGTTGGATTTAAAAACGACTTCTTCTAGGATAAAGGGCTACACATAGAGCTTCTGCAGCTGTCAATTAATGGTGTCTCTTTTAGTTCTTTATTCTATTCCCTGTGCTAGAAACAGTACCTAGCTTTGTTTCCTCTAAATAACGCCAAGTACTGATGCTAAGCCTTGGCTGAATCCATATATAAGCATTGAGTGCCATAACAAACCAATGCAAGACACTTTACCAAAGTCAGAGCAGACATACACATACAACTTTTCCAGTTGGGGTATTTAATTAATTTACAGAGGTCCGATCTATAAAGTTTTCTTCCAGCAGAGGTCCAAAACGCATGTATGTGCGAAGACTCAGACTCAGATCCTTCCCATCACAGCCCTCCCTAATATTACAATCTTGTTTTTACATCAGTGTATTCAGTCCCCTGCACATCACAGTTCCCCAAGTCACATAACAGTTTTTTCTTCAGAGTAGTGTTTTCAGGCCCCTTCACATCACTCCTACCCCTTAACATAAGTGTACCGTATCCCTTTTACATAACATACCCCCTTTGTTCACAGTAGTGTCCTCAACCCCTTTTCAAATCACCCCCCCCCACACACTCCCACACACATACACACATAGCACTGCACCCCTTCACATTACCCCCCCATGGCACTGCCTCCCCCAAGGGCATCTGCTCTTCACATCGACACCCCTCCACAGTACTGTCCTCTGCCGCCATCACATCAACCCTCCACACACACATGCAGCACTGCCCACCCTCACATCACCTGCCCCCACAGCACTGACTGTCCCTCCTCACATCACCCCCCCCCCCCCCCCCCCCTCCCCCCCCCTCAAAGCACATCTACTCTTCACATTGACCCCCACAGTGCCGTCCTCTGCCCCATTACATCAACCCCCCCCCCCCCCACACACCACCACCCCCCCCACCCACTTCACAAGTCCCACAGCTCTGCATTGGATGGAGGGTGAGAGCGGGAGCTGCAAGAGTTAACTTTCCAGCTTAACCAGCAGGTGATTGGTTGCTAGGACAAAGGACAGACCTAACAACCAATCAATTTCTGGTTAAAATGAAAAGTTAACCGCTGGCAGCTCCTGCCCTTCATCCAATGCTTAGATGTGCCTCTTGACTTCGTTCTTTACTATGCTGCCTCCCGCTCTCCGCGCTGTCTTGAGAATGACAGCGGCAGTGGCTGGGGATAGTAGTTGCTTCTAAATGGCATGACCTCGGATCCGGACCATGGTCCATCATTTAGTGATGCCTGTTCTACAGTGTCATGCTCATACAGGAATACTTACAGTTTATGGATTCCTGGATTTATTGCTTTAATTGTTTAACATATTTAATAAACTTCTATAGAATGTGTGTGGCTGTCTTAATTCAACAACTATTAAGAGACAGTGCTATTACACGATGTCTCTGCAAGCTGCCTCTAGTGGCTAAGTTGTAATACATTACAATTTCAAATTACCATACTTGGGAAAACTGGAGACAGAAGACTGGCAACAAATATGAGACATCACATCACACTGTTCAATTAATTCATATCCATGAAATAAAACTACAAACTCCTTAGGAGGTGGTACTTGGCATCAGTAAGAGTTGCACATTTGAAACCAGGATACCCTTCAACTTGTTTCCACAGATGCCCTATGGGTGACACATTCAGACACACATTTTAAGAGTTCATGCAGGTTGAGCCCTGGTTCACACTGCTGCGACTTCTCATGCCGTCCTAATTGCTGTGACTTAAAGTCGCAGCAACAAAAAAATAGTTCATGCACCAAATTGTTTTTTTGTTTTATCTTTGCTACTTTGGCTGCAATTTCACAGGGTTTTGTAAATTCAATATTTGTCACACTCTGTGTTATGATTTGTCAAAGTTGTAAAACTTATATAAAAGTTGCCTTGAAGTCACATCAAGTTGCAATGTAAAGTCACACAGGAAGTCGCATGACTTTGGAGTCACAGCAGTATGGACTGAGCTTAAAAAATGTTGGATGGGAGCATAACGATATACAGCACTGGGGCACCACCGTCCACATGGAGCCTTTTTAGGGCCTTCAACTTTTATCTACTCTTCTACTTTTTTCACAAAGGTGTTTAAATCAAATAAAGTAAAAAAATGTACATCTAAGTTATCTTATGGGGTCAGTTTACATGTCAGCTGTGCTGCTTAGCAGTGGTTTTCTTTGAACCTGATTAAACACCTATTTCATTATTAATGTAACTCTTATTTATACAGACGTACCCTGAGATGAAGGATAGCAACCAAGCCTGGTTACCACCCAACTCTTTCATAACATGCTCCTCTGATAGTACCGTCCGTCTTTGGAATATGGAGACTTCAAACATCCATGGAACTGCACTACATCGAAATATACTCAGCAATGTAAGCAATCTCCCATCTTTGGTCAGACTTCAAAACTACATAGAGTCCCAGAATGTGTTTAAAATGGTTGGGTGTGTCCCCTTTCCTCAATTCAGGTCTCAAATTACACTCAGCTTCCTGCTGTATACTGTACAGTTTGGCATTAGACTCCTGCCTGCAAGAGCTGAGAAATAGCCTTAGACCAGTGTGTTTAAAAAGGCTATAAAGAAGAGAGACTACAGATAAACAGGTACCACTTATGTATGAAGAAAACATCAGAGGGCGCCAACTAAGTGCAGTATATAGGAAAAGTGGCAGCTCACTCACAAAGTGCATAAGGATAAGAGTATGTCATCTATCCAGTTCGTTTAGCTGTTGAGCCTCAGTGTGTCTTCAGAATCCAGGAAGCAGATGCTGCTGTCAGGAATTGTGTAAGACCAGAAACAAAACCAGAAATCCTGGTGCAAAAGGACTGTACAAGACTGGAAGTGTAGTCACACCTGGGAGGGCTTGAAAAAGGAGCGGTTATGCTCATGAACATGTAGTCACGTTCCCCCACGTTGCAGCCCTCTCAGATGTAACAACACTTCCAGTCTTGTGCAGTCCATGCTCTTCAGGGTGGCTCCAGGATTTGCACTTTAGATTCTGGTGTCCTACACTGCTCATGACAGCGGCAACTGCTTCCTGGCATCTGAAGACACACGGAGGCTCAACCGCTAGCCTCACTGGGTGGAGGACATGCTCTCTTATCCTTATGCACCTTGTGAGTTGATACTTAATAAAGTCTTTTGCTTTATACGGCACTAAGGGCTTGTTCACAGTTGGCTAAATTTAATGGCATTTAATGAGCTTTAGTATGGTCATTCTACAAGCTGTAAAAATGCTCCCCAAATGCCCTATGCGCGGTTTTGAGGCATTTTATAGGCGTTTTACAAGTGTTAAAACCTCACTACAAACGCCTATAATAAACTCTTAATGGTATTGACCCCCCGCAAATGCCTGCCAGGCGTTTGAGGAGCCTATAATAAACTCTAATGGTATTGACGCCCCGCAAACGCCTGTCAGGCGCTTGAGGAGCATCACTATAGACTTGACTGGGAGGCGTTGAAATGCTTCAACTCCTCCTGACTCGACATGAGGCTTCAATTTTGATGCAACGTTGACACTTCATGTTTTGCTAATGTGAACAGCACTGTGTGCTATCAATAGTATCATTTCCATAGGAGTTTGAGGAGCATTAAAAACGCCCCTCAAATGCCTGCTCTCAAAGCTATTGTGAACTGAGCCTTAGTTGGCGCCCTCTGCTGTGTCCTTTATATATTGCAGAGATCATTTCAGTCTCATTGACGAGCTGCCATGGATATTTTTGCACTTTCTAGTACAATCCTACACCTCCACAAAACATTCACATGCATGATTATGTAGTAGCTTAGCTGTATCCCTACCCGTACCTTTTTTCGATTATTCTATGTATAAGGAATTCTTTCATCTCCGTGTATCACCTGACTTTAGTGGGTATATGTAAGGGCTTAAACCATTTTAAGGTCCTGCTAATATACCTTAACCCTCGATTTTTCAGGATCTGATGAAAATCATCCTGATAGATGATAACACGCAGGCCTTGCTGGACACTGATTGTAACACTGCTGGCCTGGCAGATAAAGTGGACTCTCAAATACTAGACACCAAGATTGGCATTCGTTCTGTGTGTGTGAGTCCCAACGGTCAACACTTGGCATCAGGGGACAGGACAGGTACTCTTAGGTAATGACATTAACATTTATTTATGGTGTCACTGTGCATAAATTTATATTGCACATTTAACATTTACATTTGTGCCATAGGGTACATGAGCTACAATCTCTGTCAGAGCTGTTGAAAGTAGAAGCCCATGACTCTGAGATTCTGTGTCTGGAGTACTCAAAGCCAGAGACCGGTAAGAATCTCCTGCATTTACATTCTCATAAATGACTGATTGTCTTGTACTGTAAATGTCTCTAAATGGGAAACTTCAAATTAATGCTGCAGTGAGTGTATACTACAGTTAGAAAAGCTAACGAATGACTTCTGTTGAACAGGAACAGCCACAGATGGATCAAAATTTGGCTAGTCCCTGGTTAACCTACCGATTTTTTAAATTTTTTTTTTTTGTTCCATCTATGACCAACTTTTGTTAGCTAACTTGAGTTATTAATGATGCAAGCTTTCAGGCTAACTCAGATCCCTTTGGCTTCTCTGTACAAAGGCCTGACTAAGGGATTGGACTTGCTCAGAAATCTTGTATCTTTTAATAACTCAAGTTAGCCAGTAAACGGTATTACTTAAAGTTCCAGTGAAGTTATTTTTTTTCTGTTCTTTTTTGGCTTAAAATAAAAAAGATGTTCTATCTACCTGCTCTGTCCAATGATGTTGCCCAGGGCAGGCTCTTTCCTTCCTCTTTGGAGGTCCCCTGCTGGCATTGTCATCTCCTTCTTCCGTGTGCCTCAGAAGCTGGCTGTTAGGTGGCACCCATGCACATACTCCCAAGCCACGCTGTGTGCATCCACGGATGGCCATGCCCCTGCTCCCTCCTCACAGGATTTGACAGAGAGCAATGGGATCCTATGGCTCCTGCTGCTGCATATATCTCCTGTGAGACCAGGTAGTGGCACTGCAGATGGGACCATGCTGGAGCGCTAGGAGGTGCCAAGTAAGTTTTCAGGAGGGTGGGGGGAAAAGTTAGTGGAGTTTTTTTCTTTACCTTAATGCAGAGAATGCATGAAGGCAGAAAAAAACAAAACAATACATAAATAAAAATTGTGCGTGTGTGTGTATATGTGTATATATATATTACAGCCACTTTATACCCCCCCCCCCCAAAAAAAAAAACAAAAAACTTTCTGCACTCATCTTGGCAGATGTACTGAAATTGTTCAAACTACTCGTGAGTGTAAAAAGTCTTTTTGTTAACATGTATGACTCTGTGCTACATAAACATTTTCCAGCTTGTAGCAACAGGTTTTTAATAGTCTGCATGGTAATATGTCAGACCATCCAACATAACCCACTCCAGAAGTCACAAAACACTCTGGTTCTGATCAACTTTCTGCTTTTCTAATACACTTGACAGACAGCTTATCCTTTACAAAAGTTAATTGAATGAGCTAAGGAGGTTGTAAACACAAATGCGGAGAGATAATTAGCAAGAGTGTTCTGTAACTGCTGGAGAGGGTCATGTTGGAAGGTCTGATATGCATGTTTTAGTGTATTAGCTTTTGCTATGGTATTTCATTGTTACCCACTTGCTGTTTTATATTAACATCGTGGTATGCAAGGAGAAGGAAGGAGTCTCTGTTGATTACATACAGTATATGTTGCACCTTCACCTGCAGGAGAGCTTATTTTGAGTGTGATTCAGCTTTAAATTTTGTGCTTTACCTTGAGAATTTGACCATAAAAACATGTATCCTCATTTAATCCTTTTTTTTTCCTGTTATCAGGATTAAACCTCTTGGCTTCCGCCAGCCGAGACAGACTTATCCATGTTTTAGATGCTTCTAAGGAATACAGCCTCCAGCAAACCTTGGATGATCATTCTTCATCGATCACTGCTGTGAAATTTGCTGGTAATTTCTCTGTTGATTCCTACAAAGTTCATTGTTCTCTGGAATATGATGGAACTATGTTGTTCATTGTCCACAGGATGTTCAGCTTTATGAATGTGTAACTAATGTCCTCTTTCTCTTTTATATGTTCTCTCTGGAGATTAAAGTGTTACTAAAGTCCTATTTTTTTAATTTTTTTTTAATAACAAACATGTTATTCTCACCTGCTCTCTACAACGGTATTGCACAGAGCAGCCCTGATCCTCCTCTTCCCAGGTCTCCCACTGGCGATCTTGGCTCCTCCTCTTCTTCATATGTCCCCATAGCAAATGACCGCTATGCTGGCACGCAGTATCCGCGTTCTCCCAAGCTGTTTGTCTATGGAGCTGCATAGAAATTAAAGACATTTTTTTACCTTAATGCAAGGAATGCATTAAAGTAAAAAAAACATTTTTAGCTTTAGTATCACTTTAAGACAAGCCATAAATGCCTCAGTTTTCTTCCCTGCAGCCACGGCTTGCAGGAAAGAAAATCGCTCAACTTCCCCGTCAACACATTGAGTGTATTGTGTTCTGCTGGCAGAGGAGCTCTGCCGGCAGAACACAATGACCAATGCTGGCAGCTATAACCGCCAGCAGTAATAGCATGCAAACAATCTGACAGGCTGGTTGTACTGAAGTCGATCGATAGATCAACTTCATTACAACCGGCCAAGATTCCATCCATCTATGTCCCGCTTAAGGATCCTGAATGACTTCAAGATTTACTGCTTAACAGATTCAGTAAATTTTCTCCATTCCATCTTTCGTAAAAGGATTGTATAGTATCAGAGAATTGATGGAGGCTGCCATTGCTGAATTCTCCTTTTGAGAATGCTAGATGCCTGTTTGTCATACTGAAGCTCCTCAGTCCTGTCTGATAAGCTGACCTGAAACAAAGAGATTAGCATTTCTGACACTCATTTACAGCATGCTTGTTCCATGCATGTGATTCCAAATGACCAAAGTATCAGGCAAGTATAATTTTAACTAGGAGGTTGGTAATGATGGCTTCCATACTTCTCTCTCTTAAGCTTTAGCACTTTTAGGACTCTTTTTTTTTTTTTTTTTTTTTTTTTTTTTTTTTTTTACCTTTGTGGTTGGGGATTGGTAAAAACAGGTGGGTGAGCCATGTCCGCCTGTCACAATAGAATGAGCAGATGTGTCTATGTCCTCATAGGCATAAATTGGCTGCCTGCACACAGAACCTGCTGGATAGGGACTAATAAACAAATGTCCCATTCACAGTGTACTGGCCTTAATGCCCGTGTGAATGAGCCCATAAACATTTCACTTTAACAATACACTGTCACCCTCTCCATTCAGGGCAGGTAACAATGTCTACAGAGGCCCCAATGACCCACTGATACTTTGTCAGCACTCCCTAACTGCTCCCCTTCCAGACCTCAGGTCTGTCAGCCAATCGCAGAGAGGCTGATGTCACTGCTCCCCATCATATCCAGCTCCTGGAATTTTAAAGCAGACTGTGTGGAAAGAGTAGCAGAATAGCAATGGCAAGGTGCACAGTATATAAGTGGTTTAGAAGGTGAGACCTTTTGCAAAAAACGTAATCCCGACCCTGAGTAGATAAAAAAAATGCAGATGGCCTTGCCTGCATGACATAGTTAATAGCGCGGCTTTATCCAGGCATGCGGAGAAACCGTTATACTTAACAACCCCCCCTCTTCCCCCATGGAGTGTGGGGGTGCAGAAGCTGTAAGGACTGGTCTTTCTGTGGAGAATCTGGTAAGTATATCTCTTTTTGTTGCTCCCCTAGACATAAACAAGCAATTATCCTTTGCAGTGCGGGCACAGCCCAACTGCAAGAGATAATATATTAGCCCAGAGTTGAGCTTTAATTTTTTTTTGATAAGGTGGTGATGGGATGGAGCCTGTGTCAACGTTTTATTTAAGTTGGTGGGGGTGGGTTAAAACCTTTTTTGTTGTCTATGCTGGAAATTCTTATTTCCAATCCCAGTGACAATGTTTTGAACAGGAATAGAAGTCTCCCAGACCGCAGCGTAGCTTCATAAGCAGCTCTTTTTTTTTTTTTTTTGATAACACCACGTTAAAATTGTGCTGCTGGCGCTCCTCTTTCTAATTCCATATAACTGCTGACATCTATATTTTCAGAAGCCTCAGCACAATGCAGTCAAATGTTTCAATGCTCAAGCTCTATTTTCTTTAATCTCCTGTTTGGAGATGTCACATGGCACAATATCCTATTATAAAACACTGCAGTCATACACAGGATCATGTAAAAAATTCTGCAAACTCAGGTTAATGTTAGTGGAACTTTTGATTGAAGCAATATTAGTTTCCTGGATAGTATCAGTTGCTCCCAGACTTTTATCACTGGTTTCCTGGCATTGCTTCTTAAAGCCTAATCTCATTGTACAGTGTAAGAGTGATTCTAATTTTTGTTTCACAAAACACTTATTAGGTTTTAAGGTAGCAGGCAATAGGAGGGTATGCAAGTGTGCAACATGAAGGGAGGAGCACAATGAGTACCCAACATTTTTAAAAAGATGTAGGTACAGAGGTAGGTTGCATACATTGTCAAAAGATGAGAAACTTCATATGTAAAATGGGAAATGGTTTAGCGCACAAAGCCGTTTGAAATTGCTCCTCATTGACATCATTGATTGCCTCTGCAGGGGAGGAAGAGCAATTTATCCATAATCTGGAGCATAAGGCCAGAGAAGAAGGGAGGTTACATGGGACCAGAAGGATGGGGGGGGGGGAGAAAAGAGAGGCAGACTGGAGAATAGAATGATTAGGGGACTTTCCTGAGAGAGAAGGAGGGAAAAAAACAGAACAAGGAGGGTTCCCGTGAGGCCCTACCAGGTTGATGCGACTGTTAGGCTATACATCGCTGACACCTAGAGCAAGGTGCAGTCTACATTCAGGTGGCTATTGTCAGTTATCCATGGGTCCCAGACCTTAAAGAATTTGGTATGGGCATTAGTAAGCATGTAAGTAAGTTTTTAGTGGACCATAGTCCACATGAGCCTTTGTTTTACTCAAAAAAAAAAAATTGATAAACTGTTGTCGCCAGGCTCTGGCTAGCATCTGCAGGCTGCCAGGAAGGGTGATTCTAACTTTTGTTTATTATCACATTTGTTTGATTTTGGAGCTCCAAATTTGCAGCAGGATGCAGATTTTTGCATTCCAGCTCCCGAGAAAATACATAATGTAGACAGAGTACCTCAATGCTTTATAATGTAACCTCCATGTCAGTTGCAAACCACTTTAAATGTTACTTTTCTAGCTAATGATGGCAAAGTACGGATGATCAGCTGTGGAGCCGATAAGAGCATTTATTTCCGTACTGCTGAACAGGTATGTGAATTCTGATGTATTTACACAAGTGCAGCAGTAACAAGTACAAAGAACTCATCCATGACCAAATGCAGTAAAAGGTCTATAAATCTGGTCCTAATATTAAACCAGACTCTCTGACTTTGTGATGAGTCATGTAAAGGCTAACTGTTTTTGTACATTAGCTGTTTTGTGGCTCTTTTAACAATGCTATTAAATACACTTTCAAATGTGTATTTTGTTTGTGGATGCAATAAAAATTTCTGGAAAGACATCCATCCAGCATGCCTCTTTCAGTACAGCATACATCGTAATATCCTCCAATCCATTGTTTATCCACTTTAGTCTTGGGTGCAGGTTTATCATATTTCCCGGTAGTATCACAGCTTTGCTAGGTAACACCTGTGACTATGGTATCACAATACGTTAAAACCCTTATGGCCAGATTGATGCTCCACAGGGAGTCACCGCTGCAAACCTCTGCCCAGTTGTTCACTGTCAGTCATTTGGATGCATGATATATAGCCCCTCTGTAGGAAAAATGGGATTTTCTCCAACGTTGAGTAGAAGAAGCAAGCAACTGCCTGGAGAGTTTTCAGTGGCAGTTATGCAGCTCCTTGTAGCTCACAGCATGTGGATCTTACTGGAGCACTGACATGTTGATAGAATACTGAAGCTAGCTATAGATGGATTGAAATTCAGTTGGCTCAGCACGGACGCAACTAATTTTGAACCGTCTATGGCTGTTCAGTTAGTGGGAAGTCAATCTAACTATAGACTTCTCACGAATGGGCTTGTCGGAAAATGTTTATTCAAACAGTGCTGCAGCCGATGCTAGCTGTTCAAGAAAAAAATGGACCCATTTATGCTTAGCTTTAGGCTGGCCATAGATGGTTCTTTTTCAAGCAAATAAAAAAATACTTCTCTGATCCACACATCGTTGTGACGTATTCGAACAGTGGGCCTCCCCCCACTGTCAGGATGTACTGATCAGTGGCTGCAAGCTTCTAATTAACAAAAGCTTTCCAACAGTTCTGTTTGACAGAAGTAAGTTGTTAGATCAACATCTGATGAGAGGGAATGACCATAGATAGATCAAAATTTGGCCTGTCCCTGCTGAACTGGCCAAATTTCAATTTATCTATGGACAGCTTTAGAGAGTGCATGGAATTTGGGGGAGGTGGCGTTGTAGAGTTGTAGCTTGAAAGATGATAATAAGAAAGTAGTTCTACTTTATTTCATATGTCTTTAGGAAAATCTTGTATTTTGTGCATTTTACAGCTTGGTAATGGTGTCTCTTACTTTCAGACCGGAGAAGGTACCATCCATTTTACCCGCACACACCACATAGTACGTAAAACAACCTTGTATGATATGGATGTAGATCCTGGCCTGAAGTATGCAGCCATTGGTTGTCAGGACAGAAATATCAGGTAGGTCTAATCTTTTAAATTTAGTTTTGTGTTTTCATATGCAGAATGTCTTGAAGATTAGATTAGGATTGTAAGGAAACTGCTTTCAGTGTTACAACTGCTAGATGAACCCCTTGTAGC